GCTGTTAGAGACTGATTGCCAGGAGTGTAAGCTGATTGTCTGTTTTTCCTGTTCGTCTGCTAGCAGCTATTTGGGAGGTTCCAGTTCGGGAGTTGGAGTGCTATTTTGTATCCAGTTCGGGAGTTTGGTGTTCTGCAGTAGCTGTGCCTGCATCTCTGGAAGGGGACGATCGCCTAAACGGTTTTACCCCTTATGTGCAAAACGGTCCGTTACACAGCAAATACACGTTAATTACAACCAGCATACATTCTACATAGTTATGCACATATCCCACAACCATACAGGCAACCCTTAAAGGCACAGTCTCTTTATAGTGTCCAAGTGGCTATGTTTGCCACAGTGATATTCCCCTTTTCCAGCTGCACCGACAGCTACTGCAAGCACCAATCTCCTCAACTGCAAACCCACGAATTCACCAACTCCCGAACTGCAACCAAGGGAATACTCGAAACTCCCGAACTGGAGACACACGAATAGCTGCTAGCAGACGAACAGGAAAAGCCCCCTAGCGGCTTACACTCCTGGCAATCAATCTCTAACAGCATACAGTAAATCCTCCCCCAATAATGAGACGACACTTCACTTTGAGGGTTAAGCAGGAACTCATTTACTGGGGCTAACTGCCCAGCTTTTATGCAGGTCTCCCACCTGGTGGACACTCCCCTAGGGGACCAAATGGGAGACTGGGACACAAAGGGTAAAAGGACCAATCACAGACTTACACATTTCAACCATCCCACAATGTATCACAATCCCTCCTCTCTGCCCTGGAGATAATTTGGGAAGTAATTCAATTATCTCCAAAGACAGAGGCAAAACTCCATTAACCACATGGCAGAAAACAAACAGTAAAAGACATAAAATTACCTACAGTTACATTCAGTACATAAAACATATACGTTCTACATATCCCCAGATAGCTCAGGTCTGAGCACACATTATTAAGCGAATGGCGCTCAGACCACACGAATACAGTTTAAACGCCATGGAGCCAAAGTCTTTACACAGTCAGTTTCATGCGAATGGGCTCCATGGGATTCCTATCTGGGGTACAACACACTCAAACAAATCTACCGAACACCTGGCAGAAAAGCACGAATAAGTCTTTTCTGCAGGGAAAAAAGATGTCTTTTAACATGGGGCCATAGTCCAAAGGCAGCAGGCGAGCAACCAGGCTTCTCCAGTGTACAGTGGCGAGGTTGGTTTCGCCACAACGTTTATTGCATTTAATGTAACTTAATGGTATTTTTTAAATGATGAACTTTTTATTTTATTTTTTTAATTTAGCCATGTTGGGTTAGACTCTACTGTCATCGCTTCCGCTGTGATTGCTCTGTGAAACTTGGAGATGTTTTACGGTTAAGCTACATTGGTCTTAAAGTGAATCCGTAATGAAAAAATTAAACCTACCTTAAATGCTGCCATATACATTGAATACATCAAATAGAAATATACATTATATATACTACATGGATTTAATGTAAAATATAGAGATTTACTCCCGGCACTGATCTCTTGGACTTCCATACTGCGAATCCTTACCTGCACTAACCCCATAGAGGGCCTTTACGCAAGCCCCAATGTGTTGATCCCATTTAATGCGCTATGAAAATGAAAAAATAAAGAATTAGAAAAAAAAAATAGAGAGATTTACTCCAGGCAGGGGCGTACCTAGAGCATTTGGCACCCGGAGCGGGTCCTATTTTTGGCACCCCTCCACCCCCCAACTTTAAAATGTTAAAAACAACCACAATTTAAAAAAATATATTGTGGCGAAACCAACCTCGCCACTGTGAACTGGAGAAGCCTGGTTGCTCGCCTGCTCCCTTTGGACTATGGCCCTGCAGGTTTAACCGTTTATTTCCCCTGCAGAAAGGCTTATTTGTGGGATCTGAGTGCCATTCATCTAATAATGTGCACTCAGATCCCAGCTAATTTGGGGATATGTGAAATGTCTGTGTGTTATGTGTAAAGGTGACTTTATGTATTTTAAAGTGTTTTGTGTCTTTTTGCAACCATGTGCTTAATGGAGTCTTGTGTCTATCCTGGGAGATAATTGAATTACTTATCTCCAGGATAGAAGACTCTGAAACTGGTTTGGGCCAGAAAGCCATGCTTCATTTAGTCACAAAGGACTTTTTACTAACTTTTGAACCCCTTGTCTGATGTGTGCCATTTTTGAATATGTTGTTCCCCTGAATGGATTGATTGTGAATATGTAATTTTATGTGAATGTGATGTATGGTTTTGGAGTTATGAAAGTTGGGTAGAAAGTATGTTTTAACTGTATGTATAATTGAGTTTCCTCTCAGGATAAGGGGAGGGAATATGTGGGATGTAACTGTGATGTGATTGGTTGTTTTGTAACGCCCTGTGGGCTGTACTATGTTTTGTGGATTGTAATAAAAACCAGGCTGGGTGTGCCAGCACTGGAGATTCTGCTTAACCCTCAAAACGAAGTGTCGTCTCGTTATTGGGGGAATGGGATTGTGTGCTGACTGCCAGGAGTGTAAGCTGTTCGTATTGCTTTTCCTGTTCGGCTGCTTCCAGAGTTCGTGTATTTCTTGTTCTTGAGTTGGGGATTCGTACAGTTTGGAATTCGGGAGGTTGGTGATTGCAATAGCTGCTGGTCTATGGGAAAGGGGATTATCGCCTAAACCGATTTTATCCCTGTTTGAGAGAAACGGTCCGTTACAATTGGTGGCAAGCGGCGGGATCGTTCCTACAACCAGAAAGACAGCTACAGGGCAACACCATTCCTTGGATTACAAAGTGAGGGCAACGCCAGTACCCGTACAGCGACCCTATCTACAAAAGAACTAACTTCAGCAGCGCAAGCATGGCACCCAGCTACACTCAGGAGCAGTATGACAGGGAGTTTACCATGCGGCTGGCTTTCTTTGGACCCAACCCCCCGGAGAAATACGTGCAGTTCGTAAGGAGCCAGGTAGACGAGTACCTGGAGTTCATGGCAGATCCAGCCAAAGGTATCAGCCGCCCTATCCAGAGGCAGAGTGCGTTACGGGGACTCATAGGTATACCTCAGGGAGCAGAAGGTGCCGTCCTTCCTCCCCAGCGGCAGTGTGTGTCCCAGGGAGCTGAAGGTGCCGTCCTTCCTCCCCAGCGGCAGTGTGTACCCCAGGGAGCAGAAGGTACCGTCCTTCCTCCCCAGCGGCAGTGTGTACCCCAGGGAGCAGAAGGTACCGTCCTTCCTCCCCAGCGGCAGTGTGTGTCCCAGGGAGCTGAAGGTACCGTCCTTCCTCCCCAGCGGCAGTGTATATCCCAGGGAGCTGAAGGTACCGTCCTTCCTCCCCAGCGGCAGTGTGTGTCCCAGGGAGCAGAAGGTGCTGTCCTTCCTCCCCAGCGGCAGTGTGTACCCCAGGGAGCAGAAGGTGCAGTCCTCCCAGCCCAAAGTCCCGGTGTTTGAAGGTGCCGCCTTCCTCCCAGCTGCAGGTGTGTGCCCCAGGGAGCTGGAAGGTGCCGCCCTTCCTCCCCAGCTGCAGTGTGTACCCCAGGGAGCTAGCTGGGTGCCGTCCTCCCTTGCTGTGCAGTGTGTGTGTATCCCAGGGGAGCTGAAGGTGTGCCGGCCCTTCCCTCCCAGCCGCAGTGTGTACCCCAGAGCTGAAGGCTGCGCCGGGCCCTCCCCAGCGGCAGTGTGTATCCCAGGGAGCTGAAGGTGCAGTCCTTCCTCCCCAGCGGCAGTGTGTATCCCAGGGAGCTGAAGGTGCAGTCCTTCCTCCCCAGCCGCAGTGTGTATCCCAGGGAGCTGAAGGTGCAGTCCTTCCTCCCCAGCGGCAGTGTGTACCCCAGGGAGCTGAAGGTGCAGTCCTTCCTCCCCAGCGGCAGTGTGTACCCCAGGGAGCTGAAGGTGCAGTCCTTCCTCCCCAGCGGCAGTGTGTACCCCAGGGAACTGAAGGTGCCGTCCTTCCTCCCCAGCGGCAGAGTGTCCTGCAGGGAGCAGAGACCGTCAGTCTCGCACCCCAACCACAGGCCAAAATAATGAAAGGGGAGACAGCTGGTCCCCCTCTCCACCAGCAGAGAGAGTGTCAGGGAGAGGAGCCTGATACCCCTTCTCCCCAGCGGCAGTTTACAGTTCAGAGAGAGGGGCTTGTTACACCCTCTCTCCAGCGGCAGCCTAACCCAGCAAGGGGAGATGTGACACCCCCCAACAGTGCAAATGGGACCGTAGTCTCTGCACTTACAGCACAAGGGGTAGGGACAGTCGGTCCTGTTCCCCAGCCACAGAGCGGTGTATCCAGAGGGGAGACAGTCGGTCTCTCCCTCCCACAACCAGGCTCCCACCAGGCTACTTCCGTGGTAGCACTGGCATCAGGGCAGAGTGCCGCTGGTCTCTGCCCACTCAGCAACCCACCAAGGCAGCCTAACAGTTGCCCACACAGTCGTGGTGAGGCACCTGGACATGGACAAAGTTCTCCTCTACCCAGGTGTAGTAACCAGCTATTGTGGGTGGGCTGTACTGCTGTTTCTGTTTTGTGGGTGGGTTGCTGGACTAACCAGGGCACTGACCGGCAGGAGGTCAGATACCCTGTTAGTCTAGTTGGTAAGGGGGAGAAGTGTGGCGAAACCAACCTCGCCACTGTGAACTGGAGAAGCCTGGTTGCTCGCCTGCTCCCTTTGGACTATGGCCCTGCAGGTT